GCACGTTGAGGAAGAGAGGAAGACTCTCTCTTGCACACCTGCTCGCACCTTGGAGAGTGTGTCACACACACACACACACACACAGAGAGAGAGAGAGAGAGAGAGAGAGAGAGAGAGAGAGAGAGAGAGAGAGAGAGAGAGAGAGAGAGAGAGAGAGTTTTGTGATGTGCCGATTATTCGATAGGTGCATGATGATAATTGTTATGATCTGGACGCTGATGGTGAGGATTTTCCGGTGATGGCGGTGTGACAGCGAGCACGGGCCAGGGAACACGTCGTCTGGACAGATAGTGAGAACGGCTGAAGGAGGAGGGGCTTTTGGGTGAAGGAGGAGGCGGAGGGGAAGGCGGCGGCGGGTGCAAGGAGGGAGGACGGGGGTTGGGGTGAAAGAAGGTCTTCGACGGCTAGACGCGCGCTGCCAATGCTGCACGCGCACGGGGAAGTTAAATGTGGGAGGCGAGTGATAGGAGGAGGAGGAGGAGGTGGTCTGGGAGCGGTAGGAGGAGGAGAAAGTGAAGTAACGACGGGGGAGCAGCGGAGGAGGTGGAGGGGGAGGGGAAGGGGGAGGGGGAGGAGGAGGACGAGACGCAGCTGCTGCTGCCGCAGCTCGTTCATCTTGCCCAAGGGTGATGCCCGCCGCCGATGGCGTTGCGTTCAGCGGTCCCGTGTATGCTCTTGGTATTGCAGTAGTTGTACTAGTCGTCGTACTGGCTTTGATTGGCATTGCGTGCGCGGCGTTCGTGGTTCGCTTCCGGCTGAGGGTTAAGAAGCAGAACCTACTTTGTCTCCAGTGTTTTAATGCGCTGTGGATTGTGCGGGTGGTGCTAATCGCCTTCGCGCTACTCTGTGCGGTCCTACAGCTTCTGCGCACACCCATCGTGCATGCATGGCTGATGATGGACTTGTTCCGAGTGAGCGACACGTGGCAAGCGCACGTTTGCCGCATGTACCTGGTCATAGGTTCCGGATTCGCGGAACCGTGCTTCTTCTTGTCAGCGCTATTTTTAGTCCGCGGCTCCTTGAGGGAGTCGTCCTTATCGACCATCCCTTGTAATCGACTAAGCAAGAGGCTGGTTCTGCTGACGGTAGTCTGTGCGCTGCCTATCCTTGGCGCGCAATTAGTTGTAGTCTTCTCAGACGTGAAGCTAGACGAAGGAGGAGGAGGAGGGGAGGTTGGCGCCAGCGATGGTGGTTACGGCAATTACGAGGCGGGAACGAAGAGCAGCGCCAGAAGTTGGCGGGAAAACAGTCTTGGGCGGTCTAGTGGTGGTCTTCCATCGAATTTGCCCGCGTACTTCGTTCGTTCCTCGGCAGTTTTCCCGCCAATTCAAGGGGAAAATGGCGTCAACTACAACGGTTCCGCGGGCGATGGCGGGAAAAGTGGCGGCGGGAATGTGCTCGTCGACACGCAAAGCCATTTGGGGGAAAGAGGAGGAGGTGGGGTCCGGAACAATGGGTGGGTGGGAAGTGCTGCCGTGAGCAGCCAAGGACAGGATACTAGACGTAGTGGTAGCAATAACAGTACCAGTCGTCTTACCATCCTCAGCGGCAGGAATGATACCAGCAGCAGCAGCAGCAGTAGCAGTAGTAGTAGTAGTAGTATTAGGAGTAGTTGGACAAGTGCGAGCAGCATTGGCTCCTCTAGCGGTAGAAGTGATAGTAGTAGTGGAGGGGGGGAGGAGAGTAGGGGAGAGAGAGAGAAAGAGAGGACGACGAGAGTGTGCACTCAGCCGCTTCTTAGCACTCTGGCGCTAGCGGTTTTCGCCCTTGTTTATCTGATTTGTTTCTTCCGTATTTGCTGGTTGATGTCCGCGCGGATAATCAACAAGAATCTGCAGTGGCGGCTGTACCTTCTTCAGGGTGTCTTGTCGATCGCTTGGCCTTTGAGATTGGTCGTCTTGGGAGTAGGGTCGCCGGAAATGCCAGGGTCGTTTGAACATGAGAGCGAAATGTTCCTAACAGTAGTGCTGCTAGGTGTATGCCTGGTAATGGGGGAGGTGATTCTCGTGCTCTGGCCGACATGGGATGCGTATATCGTGAGCAATATGCTACAGAGAGGATCAGGCAAGTGGAGAGGAGGAGGAGGAGGAGGAGGAGGGAAAAGAAACGGGAAGGGGAGAAGATATGGAAGGGGAGATGACTCCGCAGGTGTGTTTTTCTACGGAGAGCCGGGGGAGGAGGGGGAGGAGGAGGAGGAGGAGGAGGAAGAGGAATTGGAAGGAGGAGGAGGAGGAGGAGGAGGAGGAGGAGGAAAGAGGGGTGGGAATGTGGGGGACTACGAAAGAGGGTGGTTTGCATCAGTGAGGAACTCGGGAAGTTATGTGGAGGGAGGTACAGTGGACTACAGCGCGTCGGCGGCAGTTCGCTTGAGGGTCGTGCGATGCTTCAGATCTTCTCTCTCACTCTTTACGGCCAAGAAGTTGACCAGGTTCTTTTCACTGTCGAAAAGCGCGTTGCTTAATAGTACCACTTTCTCCTCCTCTGCCTCTTCCTCCTCCCT